ATAATAAAATATTTACAAAAATGTGAGGGGTGTACTCACTTCTGTGAGATACTGTACATTATATATATATATATATATAAATTAATTAATTAATACTTTTATTTAGCAAGGATGCTTAAAGTTCATTAAAAGTGACAGTAAAGATGTTTATAATTTTACAAAAGATTTCTATTTCAAATAAATTCTGTTATTTTGAACTTTCTATTCATTAAAGAATCCTGAAAAAAAGAATCATGACAAAAATTTGAAGCAGCACAGCTGTTTTCAACATTGATAATAATCAGAAATGTTTCTTGAGCAACAAATCAGCATATCAGAATGATTTCTGAAGGATCATGTGACACTGAAGACTGGAGGAATGATGCTGAAAATTCAGTTTTGCATCACAGGAATAAACTACATTTTAAAATATATTACAATAAAAAAATAGTTATTTCAAATTGTAATAATGTTTCACAATATTACTGTTTTTACTGTATTTTTGATCAAATAAATGTCAGCATAACAGACTTTTTTCAAAAACATAAAAAAGTATTTTGAACAGTATTGTCTTTATATATTTCATAAATAATAAATAAATATTAATATAATTTTTTACTTATTTAAATTTCTTATTTCAAGTTAATAACTAATTTGCTAATTAATTGCTTTGATTATTCAGTTGGTGAAAACTTATTTAAATCAATAGTTTTTGTCATAGTTATCACAGTATATGGTAAAACCCTGGTGAAATGTACATTAATTAAGGTCTATATTTCAGGAGCTTACGCTGAAGGAAAAACAGAAAGAGGAGGAAAAAGAACAGCAGAAGAAGAAAGTTGTCAACGATTGCAAAATTCAAGAGTGGCTGCAAATAAAAAGAGAACAGGTAACGATCTCTGTAAAACTCCCAGAATGAACACTAATTGTCAAATTATTATTATTATATATTATTATTATTACTGAATGGGGTCTGATCTCCTGAAGCCCCTTCTCATGATTTTACTGTGTTTTTGTACTTAGGAAAAGAAAGAGAGAATGTCCAAAGAGTTTCAGAAAAGCAAAGAACAGCTTCAAGAGGAGAAAAAACATGCTGAGATTGAAAAGAAAGCTCAGGAGAAATATAAGGAGTGGCTGCGGACGAAGAAGCAAGAAGAAACGGAGAGAAAGCTAAAAGAGAAGGTGTGTGTCTGTCTGGCGAGAAAACATATAGAAAAGAGCAGCGTGGAGAATTTTTTCAAAACATTATTCCCATTGAATATCATGAGGGTGTGTAAATGATCATAAAATTGACAATTTTAGCTGAACTATTTCTTTAAAAGGAAGAGGCAGCCAGAAGAGAAGCAGAAGAGAGGGAGCGCAAAGAAAAGGCAGAGGACAGCTTTAAAGAGTGGCTTGAAGGTGTAAAAACAAAAGGAAAACTGAGCCGACAGTCATCAGCATCCTCAGCCGGTGAGTGAGCAACAAATTCCCATACCGTTTAATAACTTCAGTTTTATTCTAGAATCAATCATAAGAATGAGCAGGTGCATCCAAACGTTTGACTAGCAGCAGATTTGTGCGTCACAAACACTGAAAAATGTGTAAAGCTCCCTAAGTGTGGAAGCTTATTTGTGTCACAGAAAAAAAAAAAAAGTGAATAGCAATTTTTTGCAAGTTTACATATCACAATTAAAGGGGTCATGACATGAGAATTCAAATTTACCTTGATCTTTTGGCATATAAGAAGTCTTTGTACCATTAAAACATCCTGCAAGTTTCATAGCTTAAAACGTCCTCCTCATCATAAACAAAGCATTTATTTAATTAAGCTCCAAAAACGTCTCGTTTTGGATTCGTGGTCAAGGTGACGTCACCTGGGCTCAGTTGTTTGCATAAACACCGCCTCCAGAGCAAAACATCGACAAATAGTCATCTTCTCACCATAGGCCCCACCCACTGGCGTTTACGAGTGTCGCGTCGCATCAAAAGCAAACAGAAATGACAATCACTGCCGCTATCTTGTCTACACTGGATACAGTATACAGATGCGCGTTCACTTTCTGACACAGTCCACGTGCTCGTGTCGTCAACAGGACAAATGGAGTGAAAGAACGTTCACTTTGACGCGATTGGTTTAAACCGCTCGTTCGCATCTTTGTACAGATATCAGAAGGATCCCAGCGTAAGGAACAAGTGGATAGTTTATTTTTAATGGCATCCTGGATCGTGTCTGAGGATTTTGCTTTGTAAACGAGGCACAGTGTCTTGGAGATTTCACAAAGAAACATTTTGTTGAAAGATGAAGCGGTAGTAGATCTGACTGCAGCTGCATCACAAACCGTAAGTAAATAATTTCATAATGCTTTTTCTCGAAATGACCGCTTTATTTTGATCATTTTGTCAAAACACTTACATGCAGTAGCGAGGGGGCATTAATACTGTTTCCTATGCAATGACGTTAGCCAATCATAACAGTGGCCGATTACTGAGAAGCCTTAAAGTACCCGCCCCTTAAAACAGGTTGTTTTAGAGAGAGGTTCCGATTGAGGGTTGAAAATAATAATTTTTCCACATATTTAGTTTTTTTGTGCAAAAAACTTTATTCAAATTACAAGTAAACCTCAAGGAACATATTAAAATAATAAAATAAAATCCATGTCATGAGCTCTTTCAAACATTTTTCTTGCAATTCTGAATTGCACTCAGTCACAATTACTTTTTTATTCTGTGACAGAAATAAGCTTTTTTTTTAGAATTGCGAGAAAAAAGTGAATTGTGAGAATTGTAAAAAAGTTGCAATTACCTTTTTTATTTTGTGGCGGAAACAAGCTTAACTTTCTTGCTGTTGTGAGTTTATATTTCGCAGTTCTGTGTTTATATCTTGCAATTCTGAGTTTATGTATCACAATTCTGACTTTTTTTCCTCGCAATTTGGACTTTTTTTTCTCAGAATTGCGGGGGAAAAAACTCAGAATTGTGAGATATAAAAAGATGCAGTTACCTTTTTATTTTTTTGTTCTGTGGTGGAAACAAGCTTGACTTTTTTCTTGCTGTTGTGAGTTTATCTCGCAATTCTGAGTTTATATCTCACAATTCTTTTCTCTCAGAGCTGCGAGAAAAAAATCCTTAGAATTGTGAGATAGAAAGTTGCAATTACCCTTTTTTTAATTCTATGGCGGACATAAATGTCCATAATATCAAACACAAATATCCACACTGTAGATTCTGGCAAGTATGCAACATTGAGATTCAAAGCCAAACTTAATTTGATCACTTTCAGGCAACTATAACAATGTGAACTATCCAGCTCCGAGTTTCGTCAACCCCATCCCCTGGAAACCCATTCATGTTCCTCGGCAAGAGCGAACACCCAGGAAAAGCTCGGCCCGTAAGAGAACACCAGGACCAACAAAGAGCCAGTCGACCCCCTGTCTCACATACAGACCTAAAGACACGATCAGCTTCGCTTGTAAAAGACGGTGACACTGACCTCTGCTGGTCTGAGTCTGGTATTAACTCATCTAAAGACTTGAAGCGTTTTTGTCAAACAGGTATTTCACATTCAAAAGACTCGTATCATTTGGCATAAGAGAAGATCCACCAGGAGGCTGATTTGTGAGTCTGCAGGCCTGATGTCATCTCTGAGATGGATTTATCAGTAGATGACAGATTCCTCATCTGTCTGTTATGATTTTGACTTGTATATTTTTGGTCGAATGTTTGCTAAATAGGGAATACAGATGATTTTTTTGTCCAAATAAAAGATCTTTGGAAATACAGTAATTGCCCAGTGTTATTTGAGTTAAATGGTTCCATTCAAACATTTCAACATATCCATCTGTTTAAAGAGCTCTTTGTTAGCTTTTAGTTAGATTAAAGGGGTCATATGATGCTTTTTTAAAGATCATTATTTTGTGTATTTGGTGTAACAGAATATGTTGACATGCTTTAATGTTCAAATAACACATTATTTTTCAAATACTGTACATTATTGTAGGTCCTATATGCCCCGCCTCTCTCAAACGCTTCGTTTTCTACAAAGCCCCCTCCTT